TTTAGATCAAAGTAATCACGTAAATAATGTCATATAAAAATCACTTGAAAAAAAAAAAAAATTTTATACCGTTTTTCGTCGAAAATCCGCTATAAAATTGTCCTCGAAACGTGTAAAGCTTATTATGCAAAAATGACGATATGTGCAATGATTCCAAAATTTGTTACACTTTCCGTTACGTCTCTCTGTCACAGCGCTGAGAATCATTATAATCATTTGTCTCAGTGACATAGTTGAGTAACCGGAGGAGACCTTATAGCATTTTTTTTTTTTTTTTATTTTTTTTTTTGCTCCGTTAACCTCGTCTCGTCACCTTTACGCGTCTGATCGATGATCAGAATCACAAACATTCAAGGTCAGATTATGGAGTGTTATATATATATATATTTACAAAGTGTGATGCGCGGTGGTACTAGAGTAGAGCAGGACAGGTCACCGGACGCGGCGACTTGTTTGCTATAATGTATACTATGCCATTGAGAACGTCTACAATTCCATGAATTCTCTCTCGTCCCGTTGTTGTCGCTTTTGAATCAATCAGGATGAACGCACGAGCGGGCGTTGTAAACGCACGAATCGTCAACACACATACACATAAAAATCGGTAAATCTAACCTCAAAATTATGTTAAAACTGAGAGCTAAAATACAAACATAACCTCAAAAATTTAAGATTAAATGCATGTAGACGTTACACATGTAATCTTGAATTTTGGAGGTTATGTTCGTACTTTAGCTCTCAGTTTTTATCTAATTTTAAGGTTATATTTACTGATTTTAATCTTAAACACAGGAGCCGTTCGAACTAAAAACTTAAAATTTTACTTTAAATTTTTGAGGTTATACTCGTACTTTAGCTATCAGTTTTCATCTAAATTTTGAGGTTATGTTTGTCGATTTTTATCTCAAACCCAGCGTCCTCTTGGTTTGTTAGTAGATTTTGACACTTGAATCTAAGTTGATTGTAATTTTAAGGTTATGTTTTAACCTCAAATCTAATGGACCTGTAAATATAACTTCAAAATTAGGTGATAAGTATAAGGGTCAAGAAGTAAACTTACCCTCATAATTTAAGGTCAAATGTTCAAATTTAAATTCAAGGACATAGATCAGAAGGACGTTGGATTAAAGATTAAAATCCGATTAACATAACCTCGTAATTAGGTAAATTTCTAGGTCACAAATGGCCGCTGGGTTTGAAGTTAATTACTTGGATCAGTATTTTGACTCTGAGCTTAATTTTGAAATTATGTTTTAACCTCAAACACAGTGGTGTCTTAACTTAAAATCTGTCAATGTACAGAGAGAATATGAAATCAATCGTTATTTTTTAAACATGTTCAACACCTTAGAATCCTAGAAAATTAAAATCTACTACGCAGCTATACAGGCCATTGAAACTGAGATCGACCAGTGCTCATCATTTAAGTTAGAAATTTTTCTATAATATTTTAATGAAATATTTCAGCAAAATTACACGGCAATATTTCTTATAGGCGGAAATTTCCCTAATTTCAGAAATATTTCAAGGACTTCGCATTGGAATATTTCAAAATTTCAATGAAATATTTCAGAAATATTTAGGAAATATCATGTGCTGTGTGGAAAGGAAAAGTTGTGCTCGTTTTTAACATATTTTATTAACATAAATATTGAATTTTAAGGTTATGTTCGTTTTTAACCTATGTTTCTGTCATTTAACCTTTATCTTTGATGTTGCGTTCGTTTTGATCCTACTATTTTGAAATAAGACCTTTATTTTTGAGGTTATGATCGTTTTAACCTCTTTTTTGACATTTGGCATTGAGGTTATGTTCGTTTATAACCTATATTTTTGACATAGTACAACTACTGCCAACAATACCAGTAGTTTTACTATAATGTATTGTATTATCAAAAATATAGGTTAAAAACGAACATAACGTCAAGGCCAAATTTCAACAAAAAAAAGGTTAAAACGAACATAACCTAAAAAATGCAAGTCATATGTCAAAGAAATTGATCCTTATAAACATATCTAGTATATATATGATGAGGAAAAAAATCATGTACGGAGGACACCTATAAGGTTATTCCGTATGTCATCCATATATGTGAGTGTATGAGTGCTCGCTAAAAGAGTTCCGCGCACTCGAGACGACGAAGAAGACGACGACGACTTTAGCAAGCAAAGGAGTCGGTCAAATAACTGTAAGTCGCGGCCTCTGGACGACATCTTCAATGTTGGCCTGTGTGAGATTCTCCTTTTCTTATTTCCACTAAAGGCATTTGCGCCAGACGATTCCCTCACCCCCTCCCCCTCTCTTCCCCCATTATACACGTTGTGTGTATTTCCACGTAATTGGTCCCCTTGAGGAGGGACGAAAAAAAAAATTTTTTTTTTTTGTTCATTAATAGAAGAGATGCATCATTTTGTGTGTGTGCTAAGAACGCATGTACTAATTTCATGTCTCTCTCTTGTTGAGAAAGATGCGATTTGTCTACAATTAGCAAATTATTTGCGAAAAAAAGTTGAAAAATTAAAATTTTTTTTTTTAATTCTAACAAAATTTATATCAACATGAATTAGTAAAAATTTTAACTAATTTGAATATCAGTGACTCACTTTTTGCTTTTGAATTAGTTAAAATTTACTAATTAAATAGTAAAAAAAAAAATTTGTTTACTATTAATTAGTTAAATTTTACTAATTCAAAAGCAAAAAGTGAGTCACTGATATATTCAAATTAGTTAAAATTTTCACTAATTCAGATTTAGAGAGTAGACAAACAGACAGACGGACAACAAAAATAGCTATTTTTCATGAACTTACACTGAGAAAAATGTTTAGTCAGAGCAACCAAAATTTGGTTGGGCCAACAAAACAAATTTTGTTGGTATATTTAAGCAACCAAACTATTTGTTTGAGTCAACCAAAAAATTTGGTTGAGTGTTTTTTGTTATGGCATAACAACAAACGATCATTTGGTTTTTTAGACCAAACTATATTTTGTTGTGTTAACCAAATTATTTTGTTGTCGTAACTGAATTTTGGTTGGAATTTAAAAATGTTCAACCAAATAAATTTGTTGGCCTAATTAAATTTTTGGTTGAGATAACTCTGTGACTTTGTTTCAGCCAATCAAAATTTGGTTACACTAACCAAAATTGCCTAATCAAACAATTTTGTTGCAAACACTAAATTTTTTTTTCTCAGTGTAGATAAGGTTAAAAATGTAAATGTCATACACGCATAAAAAAAATTTGCTGTGGTAGCGAATTATTTGCTGTCACATCAAATTACGTTAGCTAATATAGCGAACAAATTTTCTGTGAGATCAAAAAAGTTTGCTGTAACAGTAAATTTTTAAAAATTAAGACTGATATTGTTATCATGTAGAAAAATTTTTCGATGTCATAGGAAAAAATTTAGCTGTTGTTACTAATTTTGATAGATTCGATAGCAAACATAAGTTAGCATCTGTAAGCAATTTCTTTTTTTCTGTTTAATATAAAATTATTGCCACAGAAAAATAGCTGGATAAATTTTGTTGCAGTTAATTTTTATACCGATTTTGGGGTAAAAATTCTACTATTTTTTAGTGTGTGAGAATTTATAATAGGAGAAATAATAATAATAATATAATATATAATATAATATTATTATTATTATTATTATTATTATTATTATAATTTATTGTGTACGGAGAAAAAGGATTATTAATAAAGTACTAACAAATCTGGTTTGTTGTTGCAACAAATTTTTTGTTCGTCAAACAAATAGAAATTGTTGTGATAACAGTTTTTTAAAAAAAAACTGTTGAGAAAACAAAAAATTTGTTTCCACGATAAACCAGATCTTTGTTAAATATTAAAAATCCGGTTATTAGATTTAATCGGATTTAATAATTCACTTTTTTTGTCCGTGTGTTTTGTTTATTTTCTTATAAGAATAAGTTTCCAATGTTTGATATAAGTTAAAATTATTAAGTTAAATTTATTTTATCTTATCAACTACATTTTGTTTAAATAATAAATATATAAATTTATTTTTAAATATTTGCGTATAGCTTCAAGCCTAGAGTGTAGATTCGCAGCAATAACGGAGTTATGAAAACAAAAACAAACGTTACTGTTCCGGTTTCTGATTATGAATTATTATCTACTGCATACATTTTTCTAGGAAAACAAAAAAGTAGCAACTAACTTTAAAAAGTATTGCAATTTTTTTTTTTATTTTTAAAGAAAATTTCTGTTTATTTTTAAATTGACTGTTTTTTTTTTAGTAAATCATTATTTTTTTAATGAACGTAACAATATAATAATACTTATACAAAAAGGATTGAATTATTCAGATTGGTTATAGAACTTGGAAAAATAACGCCATCTAGTGTAGCGTCATCAGAAACTCTTTAATATGATTATTTCCTTCTGCTAAGGAACTATTGAAAAATCATTATAAATTCTTTAGATATTTAGAAAAATATTTAAAAATTATAAATTCCTGCAAAAATTATTAAAAAAATAATTTTTAATAATTCTTTGTCAAAATGATTTGATCATCGTATTTGCTATTTTAATTTGTTTACACTGTGCCTATTTAAAAATTTATACATTATTCTGATTTATAGTTCAAATATTTTAATTTAAAAAAAAAATTTTTTCTTACCATGTAATACATTTCAAAAAAAAAACCATTCATATTCAAGAAATTCTTGGGAAAAAAAAATTTTTTTTTAGGACACAAATTAATTATTTATGCACATATATTTATTTACATTTTTTTTTTGAGGTAAAATCATTAGCATTTATATTCATATTCCGCGTGAAAGCAGGAAGTTTAATGAACGTATAGAGTTTATTTAACCTGAAAAAAAACTTTTGTTTTTTTACTAACTTCATAGAATATAAGACACGTTTTTCCTTTTTTTCCACATAATTTCTATAAATAGATTTTCCTTTTTTTTTTTCTATTTCTGATTGAAATTGACAAAAATTTTTTTTTTGTTTTTCTATTTACAGATGGTAGCATAAACAATGAAGGAATCAGACCTGCAAGAATAGAAAGGGATTTGGACGGTAAGCGACGAAAATTATAATGGCTTTTCAGCGTGTTCACCTTTGCACGCTATAATTGACGCGATTACAATTTTCTTTAACGCCACTATCACGAAAACACATTCACATTAAAAAAAAAAAAAAAAAAAAAAAAAATTGTGCTCGAATACATTTAAATATACAGCATGTCAAATTAGTCTTTTGTATATATATATATATTTTTTTTTGATCGAGCACAATTCTCATTTTTTAATTTTCACACTTTTCTTCTTTCTTTCAAAAAAAAAAAAATGTTAACACATTCTTTAATATAATCTGCGATTATCTAATACTAATTTTTTTTTATTCATTTTTCAAAATATTCGCATAATTCACAAAAAAAAAAAACAATTTTCATAAGAACTAAAAATGGAATGCAATAAGCATATAATTTTCTTTCCTTTTTTTTCTCATACTTTTCTCTCAAATTTTTCCCTATATCAATTTCGATTTATCAGCGCACGGTACACAGAAATCTCGTTAATAAAAAGGTGTCAAAAAAAACTTTCCTGCCTTGCGGCGAGCAATGTAACAGTTTCGTGTTTACACAATTGAAAGAAAAAAAATTTGAAACTTCAATTTAAAAAAAAAACAAACTTTTTTTACAATATTCTGAAAATAACAAATTTTTTTTTCTAAATTAAATACAAAATATATAATTGATAATTTTTTAAACGGACAAAATAAAATTCGATTTTAAATTTACAAAATTTAAAAACTTTTTTCAATTTAAAAATTTAGTTAATTCCACTTTTAAAAATATTAAAAATTAAATTACAAAAATATTATTTTTCAAATGAAATTCGATATTTCTGAGTACAATGCGCATTGTCATACACACATTTGTATATACCTAAATAATTCTGGTTTTATTTTCCAATCGGTTTGCCAATAATAATAATAATAATAATAATAATAATAATATTGAATTTACATTAATATATACAATATTGAAAATATGCTTACACGCGTGTTGACGCGATGTGCGGCCGTGTAATTAATTTTTCGATGTAACTTCTCTTTTGCCATTTTTATATCCGAAGCCGGATATCCGTTTCTTCTGCAGCCTTGCCTCTTGATTGCTTTAATTTTTTTTTCTTTTATTATTATTAAATATCTGCAATCTCGTATTTATTTTCCACGCGGAAGTAAAAAGAGGAACGTAAAAACTGTATACATTGTATATATATATATATATATATTCTGTTATATATTATATTTTGTTATATATTATATTCAATATAATAATATTATCCATATTGCATTATTCTATCAAATTTTTCTGTACAGTTAATTTTTATACATTTTTTATTTTCTATCTCGAATTTAGATTCACTTTTTAATACAAATTTTTCATTTCTAAACTACTTACATGTTGAGAATTAATTTTCTTTTTTGCTGAATATATTTCTTTTCATCTATTTAATTATTATTATATACAAAGCATTTTTTCAAATCTGATAAATTAAACGTTTTTTTCAAAACATAATTCAAATAAAAATATGTTTAAAAAAATTTCAAAAACGGATTTTGAAAAATTACTCCTATAATGCTTTTTAGAAATTGTTTCATATTGCCCGAATATTTTTTTGAGGATTAAATTAAATTAAACTGTAAAAAAAATTAATTTTCCATTTTTAAAACAATTGAGAAAAAAAGTGTAAAAATAGGAAATAATAGTAGAAATTAATAGTTCAATAAAATCGAGTGTAAAAAAAAAATTTATGACAATAATAAGTTGAGATAATTCAGCAGTAGGAGTTTATTCACCTGTTACTTTACTCTATCTGTCTCTCTCTTTCTCTCTTTCTTTATCTTTTTATCTCTTTATCTCTTTTGCCTGTACATTTATTGCACTGTTTTATGCTAATGCCTGCAAAAAAAACAACTCTCTAACTAATAAGCCATTGGGTTATTGATGAATAAATAATGCAATGAATCATTATGCATCTGAGGCAGGGTTTCGCGGAACAGGGATTTTTTTAAAAAAAAAAAAAGCTTCAATGTAAGAAAAAGCTCGTCTACTAAGACGTCTCTCTCTTTTTTTCTGTTTCTGTTACTGTTCCCGTCTGCTCCTCGCCTCTTCAACTCTTCACAACAACTGGATGCCGTCTACCTCCAACGTCCGTCCGCCACTCCGTCTCTCCAACGACATACGCTAATTTACACAAAAAAAAATACCTGTAAATATATCTATCGACAATTACGGTAATACTCTCATTAACCTTTAATTACAAAATTTTTGACTGTTACAAAACATGACTGACAAATTATCTCCCAAAAATAAATTTTTTACAAATTAATTTCTTTTATCTATTTTTTTTTAAATTTTTAATAAATTCGTTCACAATTTTTCTAATTTAAATGCAAATTATATGTACATTTTGGGGAAAAATTCATTTTCATGTAAAATGGTTGACAAAAAATTTGATTCTTTTCGAGAAAAAAAAAAACCAAAGGAGTGACTACAGTTTTATTAGTACCCGCCCGACCTGGAAAATCAATACCACCTGTAGGTCTTTTAACAAAAACAGCAAGAACTTTCGTGCAAGATGGTGCAAGCACTGAATATGCAACACAAGTACTTGGCACAACTCTTGACAATGGTCGTCTTTACGCGAGAATTTTATCAACATCAAGTAGAATTTTCTACGATAAAGAACCATCACCCGATCCAACAAGTGCATATTTGGTTTATCCATCGCGAGCACAACAGGAGGATTTAAAAGTAACGCTGGAAAATTCACCCATTAGCGCCATTGAAAGATACGAAACATCAGCAAGTCAATCAGTCTCCGAAAGTAAAACCGAGGAGAAAAATAATCTCAGCGAGAACGATGTTTTAGGTGAACATGATTTAAATGACGATTCACAAATATTTAAACCCGCCAAAGTTCGTCCAGCAGATGATTTACCAACGTACACCGTTAAACAGGAATACGTTTCACGAATTGCTTCCGAAACATTTGAAGACGATCAACAAAAGAATTTCCGTCCACGAGCGCCAAAAATATTCAAATCACCACCCAAAGTATCGGCTAAAAAACCCGATCCCAAGTCACTGTCAACTGTCACATATCATGGTTTTGCCGATTTTACCACAACAGTCGGTGACACTGTTATTGTATTCTCACCAAGCACTGCTCCAGCACCAGTTGGACGTCCCGCAACAACCATCAAAGGTGACGCAACCCTAAGACCAGACGATGGAATCGCAGTTCTCAAAATCCGACCAACAAACGTAGTCGGTAGAAAAACCGAATTACCACAAAACAGAAATCGTCCCCAAGGTTTCCCACCTAGAAATTTAGGCGCCAAGAGTAACGAAGACATTTTCACATTACAACCAAGTATCGCCAACGAAGACTCAGGACACGTTGAACCCACATCTCCATTGTTACTCGATTTAGAAACCAATTCACTAAAACCCACTGGACTTCTAAAAGTAATCGATTCCACAACTTCCCTCGATGGAACCACAACACACTACAAGAGTTCAATTTATGGAACGTACGTTGGTACAAATTATGCCCAAATTGTTCACACTTCTTCGAATGTCTACTATTTCCCCGATGAATCAAGTGCATCGTTTGATGAAACCACAACCCGGGATTATGCAACAACAGAAACTGATACTGAGGAATATGTTTCCACGACTGAAGAGAGTTTAACAACTCTTCAGGAAACAACAGAAAACGTTCCCACGACTCCTAGATTCCGATTGCGGGGTTCCGCAAGACTCCGACCAAAATTAAGACCAGCTAAAACCACAACCACCACTACTCCTGCTTCAACAGACGACGACACTGCGAATGCAATTCTATCCCTAGATCCCCAGGGCAGAAGTATCAAACACCAAGCGCCACGAAATCAAATACCAGGGAAAAACCAAACCTCCAAGTCTGATAAAGTTTCCCTAGCTACCAGGCTACTACCTTCAACGATTTTCAAAACCTTTACCTATTTCACAACTTTCTTTATACCCGGAAAAAATGATCAAACCACCACTTCGGTAAAAACCCGCGAAGCTGTTTCATCCGAAGTTACATATTTAACAGAACTTATCCAACCAACAGCGAGTCAAATAGGCTCCACCTCGACGAAAATCCTCGAGAATTCTTCTATTCAAAAGCAAGAGGACCAAGAAATTGAACTCATTTTCAAAACCCTCTACACTACCTACACTTATCTGACAACATTCTTCCAGGAGAGTACCTCAAGTGTATCGAGTCGCGAAGTCGTCGAAACAAATGTCATCACGCAAACTCTAGGTCCAAATGGAGCATCTGTTGACATTAACGGTCTCTTTGATGAGTCTGAATCGATTTTCATAGCACCAACAAGAGTCGCAGGCGAATCTCCATCAACTAAGGCAGTGGAAAATAAATTCACCACCGAAAATCCTCTATTACCGTCAACTGAAGACACGACATTAATGGAGGAAGCTACCACTCCCAATGGTATTCTTTCCCAACTAGAACCCAGTGAGGTTGGGATATCCAGTACAAAATCCTATGAAAAAGTAGAAAAAACCTACTACACAACATACACGTACTTTACAACAATTTTTGTCGAAGATGAAACAGAAATAGAAACCCGAACCGAAGTATTTACGAATATTGTCACCGAAAAGATTCAACCCACTTCGGTTCAAGTCGCTCCATCAAAATCCGAACAAATTCCCCCTCCGGAGATTCTTGCCTATTTAGAAGCACTAAAACGTCAAAAATCTCAAGAGGAAGCAAAAGAAGAAAAGAAAGATGTCAAAAAATTAAACAAACCCGAAGAAGAGGAAGTTACAACACCAGCCAACGATTATTTTACCACTGAGGGAATTACCGATTTAGATACAGATGTTCCTACCACATTTGAAAGTAGTACGGAACAAATGCACGTGAAACCAAACACACCAATCGATGGTGAAGTATTAGGATCAATGATAACTGACGTAATATCCTCCTCAAGTTCAGGAGGTGGTACCC